GAGGAGGTGGAGGGCGTGGGTGGTGTCACGGACATAGGTAGGGAGCTCCTGGACCAAGGGGGAGAAAATGGAATCCAGATAGTTGGAGATAAGTTCGGTGGGGCAGGAGCAGGCGGAGACAATGGGTCGACCAGGGTATTCAGGTTTGTGAATTTTGGGAAGGAGATAGAAGCGGGCAGTACAGGGTTGGGGAACAATGAGGCTGGAGGCAGTGGGTGGGAGGTCACCTGCAGTGATGAGGTTGTGGATGGTTTGGGAGATGATTGTTTGGTGCTCAGGGGTGGGGTCATGATCAAGATCAAGGGGGCGTTAGGAGGAGGTGTCAGAGAGTTGGCATCTGGCCTCTCCTCTATCCCTATTTATTTCAGAACCCCCTTCCCCTCCCCCATTTCTGATGAAGGGTCTAGGCCCAAAACATCAGCCTTTCTGCTCCTATGATGCTGCTTGGCCTGCTGTGTTCATCCAGCTCTGCACCTTGTGGTCTCGGTTTCTCCAGCATCTGCAGTCCCTACTATCTCTGGATGGGTAGATGAATTGAAAGGGTTTAGACGGATATGGGCCAAATGGAGCTAGATTAATTTAGGATAACTAACTGGTTGGCACGGACGACTTGGATCAACAGGTCTGGTTCCGTGCTGTACAACTCTAGAAACAAAATAATTCTCACAGAGAATACTGGAGAGACGCGACAGGTCCGGAAACAGAATTTACGTTTCGAGTCCGGTATGGCTTCTTCAGAAGACTCTTCTTGTGCTGGTTTCAGATTTCCAGCATCCACAATATGTTGAATTATAAATCATTTTCGCCCCTACTAGTCCGTGTGTCAAAATAAAAATTTAACTGTGAAAAGCCCTGGCACACTTGAAACGTACGGACGAAGGGCCTCTGAACTAGAAACAAAAATGAATGGAATTAAGTGCCAACAACATGCACGACTCACCAATCCCCACTAACAATACCTTAACAACCCAGCGTACTCCAGCACTTTCTCTCCTCCCGAAACGCCTGCGCAACAAAGCCATTGCCGCACGGCATTCCGGGAATTGCAGTCCATAGCGCGGCATTTTATATGAAAAATGATTATATGACTCAGCATGTCGCGGGCACTACGCGTACGTCACTGCCGGCGTCTCGTGAGCTCGCGGTGACCGGAAGGAAGTTTAGGTGCGTTCCGCTAATTTTGAACGACTAACGGTAAGTAAGGTGACTGAGTAAAACCTAGGAACTGGAGCTTTTACAGTAGCGTGTAAGTAAAAAAAAAATCTGCGTTTGACTTTATGTAATATACGTGGTTGCCTTATCAATTAGAAATCACCTGATGCGATGGAGATCTTTTCTCTCTCCGCTTCTCAATGTTAATGGTGAGCTCTGCACAAATGCTCCCAAACCTGATGTGTGTTTCTTAAATTTTCTGTTTTTAACTCCATAATAAATCGCTCGAGATTGTGGAGTGATTAAGAATTGAGATTTTTTTTAAATTTGGTAGCGGGATAGCTGCCTTCTGGAAACTGTTAAGTACGGTTGAGGCCAAAAGAGCCACATATTCAGGGAATGGTCAGAGGTTTGGACTTTTTGGGAAATAGTTCAATATTTGTATCTGTCATATTTGTGAAAGTTGATTACGCTGCTAAAGACAATCTTAGGAAAACTCACTGAATGTACCAATGAAGGCAAGCGTGCCAAACACCGCCTTCACCACCCTATCTACCTGCAACTCCACTTTCAAGGAACTATGCACCTGCACCCCTAGGTTTCTTTGTTTGACAACACTCCCCAGGGCCTTACCACTAATTGTAGAAGTCCTGTACATTTGTGTTTTAGACATTATGTGGTTTAACATTGTATATTCTAACGTATAAAAGAATACTGGCTGCAACGTAATTTTTTTAAAAACAAATGAATTACATCTAATTTAGCCTTTATAAAGGAAGGGGATGCCGTTAGGACATAGTGACAGAAGGAAACTTAATAGCTGGAAGAAGGGTTTAGAATTGATGAAGAAGAGATGTTGGAGTAGCTGTATAACAAGGTGTGGAGCTGGATGAACACAGCAGGCCAGGCAGCATCAGAAGAGCAGGAAAGCTGACGTTTCAGGTCTGGACCCAGACTCCAGCATCGGCAGTTCCTACTATCTCTCTTGGAGTAGCTCTACATGTGTAAATTTGATAAAGCGCAGGGACTGGAAGAGGTGCATTCTGGAATATTGAAAAAAGTGAAAGTTGAAATTGCAGAGGCACTGGTAATAATCTTTCAATCTTTTCCTAAAATCAGGGGTGATATCGTAGGACAAGAGAATTGCAAATGTAACACCACATTTTAAAATAAAGGGTGAGTCCAAGAATTGCAGGCCAGTCAGTTTAAGTTCAGTGGTGTTGTATATTAATGATGTAGATATTGGTGTATAGGGACAATTTCCAAATTTGCAGATGATGCAAAACCTGGAAGCATTGTAAGGTGTGAAGAGTTATAAAGTCGTGCAGCACGGAAACAGGCCCTTTAGTCCAACCTGTCTGCACTAACCAGACATCCCAATCTGACCTAGTCCCATTTGCCAGCATTTGGCCCATATCCGTCTTGACCTCTCCTATTCAGAGACCCACCAAACGCCTTTTAAATGCTGTAATTGTACCCATCTCCACCACTGTCTCTGGTAGCTCACTCCATACATGCAAATCCCCTGTCTGTAAAAGTTACATTTCAGATCCTTTTTAAATCTTTCCCCTCTCACCTTGAACCTATTTCTTCTAGTTTTGGACTTTGTCACCCTGGGGAAAAAATATTAGGCTATTCACCCCATCCATGCCCCTCATGATCTTATAAACCACTATAAGGGTCACCCCTCAGGCTCCAATGCCCTGGAGAAAAAAGCCCCAGCCTATTCAGCCTCTCCCTATTACTCAAACCCTCCAGTCCTGGCAACGTCCCTGTAATAAATCTTTGCTGCACCCTCCCAAGTTTAACAACATCCTTCCTATAGAAGGGTGATTAGAATTGAACGCAGTATTCCAAAAGTGGCCTCACCAGTGTCCTGCACAGCCACAACATGATGTCCCAATTCCTATACTCAATGTTTGGACCAATGAAGGCAAGCGTGCCAAACACCGCCTTCACCAGCCTATCTACTTGCAACTCCACTTTCAAGGAACTATGCACCTGCACCCCTAGGTTTCTTTGTTTGACAACACTCCCCAGGGCCTTACCACTAATTGTAGAAGTCCTGTACAAGAATAGTGTAAAACTACAAAAGGATGTCAACATGTTGATAGAGTGGGCAGATAAGATGCCAGATGAAGTACAATGCAGAAAAGTGTGAGGTGATACATTTTGGTGCAAAAAACTTAGAAATACAACATAAAACAAACAATGCTACATTAAAGGGTATCTATGATTAGAGAAACCTGAGTGTTTATGTGCATATGTCCCTAAAGGGATGGGACAAACAGTGAACAGTTAATTAAGAATACAATATTCAAGGCTTTATTAATAGGGACATAGCGTACAGGAGCAAGGAGATTATGCAGGGCTTGTGTAAGATGCTAGTTAGTCCTGAAATATTGTGTAATTCTTGGTGTCACACTTCAGGAATGATTTGAATACATTAAAGTGTCGAAAAGGTTTACAACAACAATTTCAGGATTGAGAAAAAGCAGCTATAATGATAGATTGGAAGAGTTGGAAATCTTTTCCTTGCAGAGGTAAAGACTCGGGATACGTTTTCAAAATCATGAAGGGGTAGGACAAAGTCAATGGGAAGAACCTGTTGGCACACATAAGATCATTTGCAAAAGAAGCAAATGGGATGAGAGAACTTTTTCACAAAGTGAGTAGTTAAGTTCCTGTGCCTGGAAGCACAGTGGAGGCAGGCTCAGTTGAGGTGCGCAGGAGATTATTAGATGATTTTCAAGGTTACTGAGAAAAGGCAGGAGAATGGTAATGTCATAATCAAAAACAGAAATTGCTGGGAAAGCTGGGCAGGTCTGCCAGCATCTGTGGAGAGAAAGCAGAGTTAATGTTTCGGGTTCAGTGACTCTTCTTCAGAACAGACCCTTCTGTCCAGGAGAAAGGTCAATGAACCCAAAATGTGAATTCTGATTTCTCTCCACAGATGCTGTCAGACCTGCTCACTTGTACCAGCAATTTCTGTTTTTGTTTCTGAATTCCAGAATCTGCAGTTCTTTGGGGGTTTTTTTTGTTTAGCAGCAATGTTTATTGCAATGAATAAGCAATGTTTATTCAGATAGCCAGTACAGACATGATGGGTTGAATTACCACCACTTGCACAGTAATATTCTTTGATTCTGTAGCTCTCGTGCCACCTATCTTAATAAATTGTTTGTGCTACTGTTTTCTTTTGCCACCTTTAACTGCACATTGTAGTCAAAGGAGACTGTTGGTTCAGGAAACCTGGTAATGTTGTTAAACCACTTTTTTTTGTTAATCATTGGTCTCTATATTTTCCATGGTGGATAGCTAGATGTATGGAATTTTATCTACCAATATCTTTATTCTTATGAATAGTTTTGCAGTCAATCTCCAGTTTTAATATGTCTGCCTACATGATAGCTGGTTCACTTCCCTCAAGTGTCAAATTATATGTTAAGCATGTTGTACACATTGTCATCCATCCATTATGTTAATAATTACAATGTGATATTGTCAAGCAGTGGCAAAGGTGGGTGTTGCTATGGAGCGAAGACAATCTTGTTGATCAACTGGATGTAAATTTTAAAACTCAGCTTAGCATTGTATAAGGCTAGTATTGTGCAGATCCAGCCTAAGTTCAACCAGGAGGAATGTTTTCAACAGCTAAAATGCAATCTCTTCAATTTAAGATTGGTTGGATTGTTTTGATGTCGGAAATATTAAGATGCTGGAAGTTCCAACCTGATTGCAACTTGGGAAAAACAATGGGTAACACAACAAAAACCAAGGATACAACCAGAGAAGTAAAGCTCTCGGTGAGATTATGGTGGTTTAGAGGTCTAACGCTAGTAATTCAGAGTCAGGAGTTCAACTCCCATTGCAGCAGCTGAGCAATTTAAATGAAATTAATTGGATAAACTCTAGAATAAAGAGATGTGTAAGTAATAGACTACTGGATTGTTATAAAAATCTAGTTGATCTCTTTAGGGTGAAATGTCTCCCACCTTACCTGGTCTAGTCTGTTTGAACCTATCCAGATGATTGTTGGGTACACTTTTAATTGACCTATTACACCACCTAATAAGCCGTTCAGTTCTGTTCAAGAAAATGGCCCACTGTAACTTCAGGGCACTTGGAGATGGACAATAGACGTTGTCCATGATAACGATGCCCACATCTATCACACCTTTACTTGCTGACTTTCACTGGCTCCCTGTCAGACAATACTTGAGTTTTAAAGTTCTCATCCTTGTTTTCAAATTGCACCAAGATCTTCCTAAGTCCCTTTGTCTCTCTTCAGCCTTCCCTATAAGATGTTCTTTGTAAATTACCTCTTTGAATAAGCTTTTGGTTTTTTGTCCTGTTCTGTGGATTGATGTCAAAATAGGCTCAATTGTCCTACTCCTATGATGCTGCTTGGCCTGCTGTGTTAATCCAGCTCTACACCTTGTTATCTCAATTGTTACCACTCTTGTTAAGCATCTTGGGAAGTTTGACTGCTAAAGCCCCAACACCAATGTATATTGCTAATGGACTCTTAAGCGTGGTGTTCGTTAGCTTCTAGTGGTACATTGTTCATGTAACAGCTGAAGATCACCACCACCAACTTGCATTTGTATACCACTTTTATCAGAGTGAAATGTCCCCCACATGCTTTACACTAGCATTAATGAACAAGATATAACACCATCTCTATTCATATCTGGTATTATCTGAGTGCTAAACCAAGTATATTAATGATGTATATATGGATGCTGTACTGTCCAATATTGGCAATATTCTATCCTACCTTTATTACTTGGGACTCTTTTGAAGACCAAAGCTGCAATGCAGTAATCCTTTTGACTGCTTCTGAACTAAACGGTAAATATGAAACCTACTTCAGTTAGTTCTTTGCCTTTCTTGTTATGATACTGCTTATGAGTGATTTTGTTTTTCCCACAGGAAACAGCCCTAACTTGTCTGCAGTCCCCTAAGGAGTTGATATCCATTTGCTAACCAATCAAAATAGATAAGGATTACTTGATATTTGTTTAAGGCAAATAAGCTAT